CCTAGCACGCAATGAGTTTCTGGTTATAAGGGAAGGGTATCATGTGCTGTTTTTTTTTTATTGTTGGGCACTGTACTACAATGGGCAATTTCCAGTCGTGAATTGATTAGAATAAACTTCCGCCTAACTTTCTAGAATCATCTCCACTCGTAGAACAGTGTATGACAGATAACATCAGCAATGGGTCTGAAAGTGATTAAGTGGCTGACTAATTCTCAGTTTGAATTACGCGAAGAATCGTATTTTTTAAACAAAAAAATCTATCGAGTGGTTTAAAGATTATTCACTAATTTGTTAAAGTAGTATAGACCGAAATGATTACAAAACCGCTAACAAGAGCGCCATGATACATACTAAACACTCAAATCCTTTTTTGACCAGAGCTATCTCCATGATCTTTTACCCACTTTTTTAAAAAGATTGAGACTACTATGAGGTGAAATTGCATGTCAAAAGCGCTTCGTTTTCTACAGATAACGGCCAAACAGCAAGATTTTCCTTTTTTACCGTATTTCTAACGATAAAAACTTTATACCAAAATATCTCCGCAACGCTCTTACAGATTCCGTTTTAATTTCACGAACATCGAGGCGACTATTGGAGGAAAATGCTTCCGTGAACGATTTTGGAAGAACAGTTCCCAGTGAGAAATGTTGCTGCAAGTGTAATAGGTAATGGCATCATTTGGTTGCTATGACAACTCCGATGTTATTTCAACCCGGATCATAACAAATTTTCATCTTTATCTAATACAACTGTGGTGGCAATTTTTCCAAATGTTTGTTTATGGTGTCGTAGTCTATGCTCAAAAAAAACTTCACAGGTATTGACCCTGAAAAACTGTATCAAGCCACTTTCATATGCTAGTAAGGCCTATGTTGTTGCATCTTATGGCCCTCGTTTCTGTTCGACTGTTTTGTAAAAATTTGCATTTTGGGCAACTTGCAAGAATTTTTTGGGCAAATGGTTTACCGCCCCCCCTGACAAAAAATTGCCCATACGCCTATGCGGTTGTATGTTTGAAAGGCTTTTTTATGATCAAGGTTGATTATTGAAATAGAGTAGTTGCCACTAATTTGATTGCAAAATTTAATAGGATTTGCCGAAACTATTGTCCTTTCATGTATATAAACCCGTGGAAGTAACAGGAGACTAGTTCTGCTGGGAGTCGGACACTGTAGACTTTCCTGATGGAGAGACGCCGAACGCGCGAGTTGTTATAGATAAAATATATTAAGCAGTAGCATCACTTTTTGCAGTCCTTTTGCGCTGGGATTAAACAAAGTTAGATCTTGTTTAAATTACTAGATCTAATATTTACGATTAACAGCAATAAAAAGCCCAGAGCTACTTACCTAGGATTTTTTCCCACAGATTAATTCGAGAAAAAGTTTCTTGTGTTGACCAGTCAAGAAGAACCAAAGAAAATGAGATTGCTTCCGTGACAACAGGAATGTATGATATACTAACAGCAGGTTGGTAATACAACACCTGAATTTTGGCATTAAGTGCGTCTTCAATTAGCACAGTGTGACATCAAAGCGAAATACATGTTGACGATATATGAAGGCTATTTAATTATATTTATTCCAAATTCCCATTCGACCAGGAATCAGGTAGACGAAGAACCACTTAGTGGATGTGCCATATACCTCTAAATCATTATTTAATTATTTATTCATGTATTTATTATTTATTCACTCAAAGTTATTTTGAAGATTTAACATTAGACGATATCAGACTTGCCAGATTTAGAAGATTTCTGATAGAAATCGTAAGCAATGTGCCCTGCAATGTGCGCGTTCATCAGTGCAATAGCTACTAAATGAATGAGCCCACCAACTTGACAGCCAGCATCCTCTGGAGTGCTACATATTGTTAAAAGTGACTTAGGTTTAGTCAGGGGCACCCAACGACGGTTTTCTCCTAAATACATTGGAAAAACTTTTTAGGCTATCCAGAGTATTTTAAGATATCTAGAAATGCACTTTTTTCGGCGCTATAAAATTTGTATGTACGTGTTTGGTCATCCTAGTGGAACTTTAGTCCTTTGGAAATGACAAAGGCTTGAGAATTTTTTCTCCGCAAAATTTGGGTGAAATTTGAGATACAACGAAAATTAGACATTCCCGCTTAATTTTTAACGCCATCCCATTTTTGAATCGGAAAATTTTAGTTTCCCTTTTCTGTATAAAAAATGGCCTTACCTGGGAAGACAAATGTTAAAATTAAGCTTGAGAAAATCGTAAGGAATTTATACGATATGCTTCGAAAATGGTACATGAACGGAACGGTCATGTGGAAATTTTTAGCCCTCGTCCGGTTATAGAAAATTGTAGGCAATATTTGCTTCTCCGAACAGATATTGTACCGGAAAAGAGTTGTTGGGTGTTCCCACTTAGTTTACGCCGTAGGAAAATTCGCCTTCCCATCTAAAATTAGACACATCAAAATATATAATATAATCTAATATAACACTAGTCGATCGTTTACTAGCCTGCGAGCAAGCTCTCCCGACGCTCTTGTGGCGGGGTGGGAAAAGGAAGGTGAACGGGCAAGGGCCAATTCCAAAAACACAACACGTTCACAATCAGCAAATGTTTTTACTATTAACGACCCATAAAAGTAAATTCCTACAAAGAGCGAAAAAATAATAGTTACAATACAGAAAAACTACTTTAAGGTGACTGCCGAAGTGAGATTAATGAAAAACGATGAAAACGAAGCTGCTTACCAAATGCTGAGGATGATACGGTTGGTGGTCGGGGCCACCGAGGAAAAAAATCTACTTCCACTAATGCTGTTGCACTAGTAGACGCATAAACTGGTAAAAAATAAGGGCGAGATAACAAACTATAACGAAATTTACATACAGCACGTAACAAAGGAGCTTAATTAACAAAATACCGGAGAGCGAAAAGAAAAAGAATACACGATAACAAGTAAGTGAGAAAACGAAAAACAAAAGGAAAAAATTTGCCCCAACATCCTGGGGGGTTTGACTGAATTCAACTGATTCAGCAAAATAAATACGAGGAAAATTTAAAACTAGGAGTCCGCCAATTAGAACCTGGTCATTTGAATCAGTCTCTAAAACTCTCAAGTTTCGATAAACACAGTTTTAGACAGCTTCCTCCAGCAAACATTGCTTAGAAATTGGTCTAGTTAGAGTAGAGTTCTTCGTCTTAATTTCTGCCACTCGGACTTTACCGTCTCGTCCTGGAAAAGTCTTGATAACACGGTCAAAGAGCCAACATCCTCGCGGGGAGTGTTATCCACAACAAGAACTACATCTCCGATCTTTAAGTTGTCTTTCTCGCATATCCACTTCTGGCGTTGTTGCAGAGTTGGGATGTACATGTACTCTCGTATCCATCTTTTCCTAAAACAATCAGCCAGAAATTGCGCTCTTCTCCATTGCTTCCTTCTGTAAAGATCCTCGCGGTAATGTCCTCGTGACATTATACATGTAGCCACTTTAATTTGATCCTTAAATATTTATTCCTCAGAACTTTTATTAAGAATCCTAGTGGCAGGAGAAAGGTGTAACATTACCGGAGAATATTTTGAATGAGGCTCAACGTGTGAATAAAAAATATTCATAAGCTACCGAAAGTTAATCGGAGAATTCTGCATAGTAAATGGAGAATTCTCCAATCTCTGATGCCTGATGAACACGCTGATTCCTTTTACAGCGAAATTCATTGCATCGCGCTGTGCATTTTGCAAAATTCGAAGGAATTTTGGGTTTTTCTGTTCCATCAATCATCTTAGTGGACCTCTTAGGAAACACATGTTTACTTGCATGAGTTCAAAAGGTCCTGGTTTTTATTATTTGTGATTGGTGCCCGGGATTTCGGTCTGTTTTGTTTGTTTCATGTTTCAAGGTTCTTCGCTATGTGATTGTCCTGTTTCAGGCAGTAGTCGACTAGTTAAGTTTGCTTCGTAGGTTTTACTGATCATTCTTATTCTTGTCACTTGTAAGAATAAAGCAACATCTGCCTCCTTCCTTCCTTCGACAAAAACATCCACTCACCATTGGGATTTCCTTTGCTATCCCTGAGCAGTCTAGAGTCATTCTCAGCCAAGCTGGGCAAGCATGTTACTGTCTGATTTGCATTAACCCCGCCTTCACCCAAATGATTGACAGAAGAGAAAAACCCAAAATCCCGTCGAACTTTGCGATACGCGCAGCACGATACAACAAATTTTGCTGTAAGTGTTTGTATAAACATGCTGTTCCTCTAATTTTTTTTTCATACACTGTTGTGTTTCTAATGATCATGAAGAGCATTTGTATAAACATCAATTGCTTATTTTTACTTTTCTTTTTCTTCATCTTTTTCTTACCTCACTTTTATTTTTATGTCCTTTGGTTGGATCAATGAAGAAAATTTGAATAACTCTGGCATATGCAATACACATGATTTCTACTTTTCAACTACTGATTCACAATCAATACAGAACTCACAGGACATGTTATGAGTTAGGCACTTTGCCGTTGAAGACCTTAACGGCTGTTTTAATGACATTTTTTTAGAGAAGTAAGAAAGTATTTAACACAGTTGTGATGAAAGCAATGGTCTACAATAAAAGCTATTAAGTGATAGGAATTATGGAGTTCAAGAATGTTTGGCGTTCACAGCCATTAACAGCTGTCAGTGCAATCAAATTATCGAAAGATAGTTCGAGTTCATATTACAACACTTACAGTTACTGTTGCATATGGCTAAGTTGTAATTTAGGAAAAGGTTAAACTCAAGGCAATGCCGGGGATCCTCTTTGTTGGCACTCATATTCACTTTCTTGCTGCCCTGTCAGTAAGACCATTTTGTCTGCTAATTTTGAGGTAAAGCCACAACTTGAGTTTTTGCTTATGAATTGCAGTGGTAATGCACCAGAAACAAGAGGCACAGCATTTGTAGTGTATGAAGATATCTTTCATTGATGCCAAGAATGCTTGTGATCATCTGTCAGGCTTCAACGTCCGCAATCGCTACCTTGTCGTTCTCTACTACCAATCTACCAAGGTAAAGTAGACTAACTATATTATTTGTTCAAGATGGGTCTGTCACTTAGACAGCATGACTCGTGGTGTCTTTCATGGGAAATGAAAGGACAATAGAACCAAAATAATATTATTTTCTAGCTGATCAAACATAACTATTTTGCAAGTCCCTTGGCCTTTCTTCATATCGAGGTTCTACTGTACTTTAGTCAAATCCAATGTTTATTATTTATTTCTTTTTTTATTCAGGCTTTCCAAAAATTGGACAAGGAAAAGAAGAGACAGAAATTGGAGAAAATGAAAGAAAAATATGGAATCAACAAGGACAAGTGATACCAAAGGAGAACACCAGAAAATGTCTTATTTATAAACAGTACTTTTATACAAGGGACCTTTTTTTCTGAAAGTCAGTTATGTACCTTGTAGCACATAGTACAAACAACATTCAGAAAGTGGAAGTATAGGTTGTAGCCCAGTCATTTACTTAGAGTTATGTTGCGGTACTTTCAAAAACATAAATAAAATGTTTTGTTAGATGGAATTATCCATAGCTGTAGAAAATAGTTGACAAGTAGCTCTTGATGGTGTACAGCATGGCAATTTGAATTCATTCCATAACACTCTAGTTATCTTTGTTTTAGTTCAATCAAAATTTTAAATACTAATTTGGTTTTAACATAGCTTGTCTTTCTTGCCAAATAAAAATCTGAATGTTACGGAAGAGGGTGACTACTTAGAGTGCAAAACAGTCAGTTTTTTTCTCAAAATGAGTAAAGAAATCGGTAAAGCATGACGTCTCTCCCCAGTCTTGCTCTCTGTTTTCAGCCTCGTTCCAGACCTTTTGTTTGACTGCTTGCGCGTACTTGAATACCCGGTACGCAAAAATACGGACTGTTTTGCAGTCTAGCAACTACTGTAACCAGTGTTCTAGATGAGAAATGGGTCTCAGGTCAATGACCTGGCAGATAAGGCTTCCTGGTCCAACAGATGACATATGTGTTAAGTTAAGTATTACGAAAAAAATTAGCATGTGGTCTTGGTGACCCCTCAGATGGTCTACATGAAATAATAAACTGGAACGCTGTGTAACCAGGGCAACGTAGACAAAGTTGGCCAATCAGATTACAGGGAAGTAACAATACACTCCAAGAAAGTTGGTTGTGGGCCAGTCAGCAGCTTGTAAGAAAACAATAAGTTACTCAAAGTACAAAATTATAATATTGATAGCAAACGTTTTTCAAGAAAGCAAAATGTTTCACCGGGCAATGTCTTTCTGTTTGAATCTTTACATTGATTACACCCAGAAGACGTATTTGTTTTGGGCACAACCTGTTATTTTGTCATCTACCAGCAATTTCTTCGCAACCATTGCCGTTCTTTGCAATAACATCACAACCTCAAGTCAAAGATTTAAATAACATTTATGTTTTTTTCCTGTGTCATTCACTCTAACGGACCTCTCAGGAAACACAGGCTTCCTACTGCAGGTTCAAAAGGTGACGTCTGTGGGCTGTAATTGGTTGATTTCGACCCATGTTGTTTATTTCGATTTTAATGACTGGCAACTAACTTTCTCAGAATGTATTGTTATTTTCCTGTAATCTGATTGGTTAACTTTGTTTGGGTGACCCCAGTTATTGTAGTCGCACTGTAAGACTCTTGTTTGACTAAGGGTGAATGCTTTACTCATCATGGGGAGAAGAAAATTAATGTTTAGGGAGGCGTGAACATTCATTCATGTCTCGATAGGGTCTGGAAAACAACTGCAAATGTTGATGTTTTTAATAGCACCTCAACTTTAGGATGTAAATTCACTGTAAACAACAGATTGAGTATAAGTAATTGCTCTTAACAGGATCCAGGGCCTGTGCAAGGACTCAGAAGACAAATGTACTTGAACCGGTTGAATTCTCGGGCTGTGTCTGATTGGCTAAGAGATTTTTGACACCAAAGGTGGTTCTGTAAATCAGGGTCAGCCAGGGGTTTGGGGTATACGGTATACAGGGGCTTTTTAAATCGGGTATACGGTATATTGCAGCTTAAATACGGGTATTCGGTATATCACTTGCTTTGAATTTCAGGTGTAAAGTATGCCTGGGTATAATTTTGGGTATATTTGGATGAATTTTGGGTATTTTGGCGAATTTTTTTCGGGTATACTGGTATACCACTACCCCCCCCCGGCCGATCCTGGTAAATAGTGTGAAAGTGTTATACGCTGTGACCAAGACCCTTAGAAGGAGGTGGAGATCCAATCTTGTGTTTACTCACAAAATTCTCTTCAACCCAACGTTTTACCAAATAAACCCATCAAAGGATAAACAATTATCGTGGATGGGTTGTAATTAAAGATTTGAAACCTAGTCTTTCTCTCAGCTCACTCTGTACCTACGATACCCCAACGTGTTGTCGTCAACAAACTACTGACAACTTTTGATCACCTTAACATTATTTTATTATTGTGTGTGCAGTATATATTACTTCAAATTAACAACTAAGACTACGTTCACGTGGCACTGGACGAATTTTCAACTGACTGAAAATTCCGTTTACATGGGACGCTTCAATATTTTTGCTCTGTTCACAAAGAACTTTGAACAGGTAGGCGCCCAATTTTTTGTAAGGTTAAGGTGGTTCCGTGTGCAACCAGTTGAAAATTTGTCTCTTGCCGTGAGAACGTAGCCTAAGAAAGCATTAATTAGAGCGATTTTTGTATGACCTTGAAATGAAAACGCGCGAACAAAACAAACAACAAATGAACGGAAATAGAGCGATTTGGTTGGTTTGTCGAAGGGATAAAAACGCGTGTGGCTTTTGGTTGGTTAAGCGAACGTTCGGGTAAAAAAACTTCATGCCCGGGAACTTTCTGGAAATCAATAGATACTTCGCTTTGATGTCATACTGCAAAACGATTGGCCAATCTAACAATGCCTTCTCCATATTAGGGTTTTCTTTGGTGGGAAAACGAAGAGTCCATATTTTGATCTTTTCATCCATTGGCTGATAAAACAAATAACTAACACTTACCCAAACCATTTTTCAAGGTCATACGAAAATCGCTCTAACCTGATCTTTTCATGCTCTTGTAGGTACTACGTTCTCCAGGAGTGATAGGCTCCAGGTTCTCTCGTAGACTACGAGCAGTCTCCCTATTCTCTTAGTCTGTTGAGCTGTGACTGAGGACACCCTCTTTTGTCGCCCCCCTCAAAGCACGTGTGCGTGCACTCCACTCGCCAAATTCGGAGCTGAAGAGAGACTGCTTGCCGTCTAAGGGCCTGTTTACATGGAGTGGGGGACCCCGGTCTAGTGGGGTTGGTTTCTTTTGTTTTCACGCTCTGAGGGACACAAAACAAAAGAAACCTACCCCACTAGACCGGGGTCCCCCACTCCATGTAAACAGGGTCTAAAAGACCTTTCTAGCTTGTACGTTTTTTTTTCCCAATTCAGACCACATGATATTCTGCAGGAAATTTGCCTTTTGTCCTTTCATAATTTATGCATAGATTAGCACCTGCATGCGACAACATTTGAAAGAAATAGTAATCTCAGGGGTACTATCACGTAGTCTGAAAAGAGAAAACAAAAGATACAAGCTAACAAGGTCTATTATAATGTGACGCGTTTAAGAACCCAGAACAACTGTTCACTAGTTTAAAGCCAATATTAAAACTGATAAAATCTCAAGTCTATTACAACACTTAAAGTACTCAACGTGGACCCATCTTGTCTCGGGGTGTGCTCAGTCTGATGAGCATGATACTGACAGGGTTTTCGGCCTGAGCTTTAAAGTTGAGATGCTTCCATTGCCGAAAAAACTTTTACTTAGCTTTAACAAGTGAAAAATTAATGGCTGTGCATGTCAACTAAGATGCCATGGTATGGAATTTTGGGGATGGGGGCTGTGGGTCGGGTCTGAGTACAGTAGCGTTAACTGTTTCCCTGAAGTTAGCTATTTGAAACAGTGCAAGCACACTTCTTAGTCTTACTATTTGAAATAATTAATGAAGAGTAATAATTTACACATTCAAAGAGCGATAAAATATTAGCCTCTACCACAAAACTTGGTAAATGATTCTCTGAACGCGATTATATTTACAGTTGGAAGAAATTTATCTCAGTCCTTTGAGTCCCCCATTAATAGCCGTTTTTCTGACTCTACACATTGTTGTTTCATTATTGGGATACCCGTGGCAAAGCCCATTCTAGTTATCTGATTTCTGTAATTGCAGTCCCAAATTAGCCTTCTGACACAGCTGTCTCTCCCTGCTTCACGCCACTTGGGACGTTTCGCCGGCTGTACGTATTCGCAGGTAGGCCAAAATTTCTAAGCTTATAACTCTTGAAAATGTGGAAACGAGGCAGGTATGTTCCCCTGCTAGCAAGAATCCAAGTTTCTGTATTGACGAACTAAACGTAGAGGTAGAAATTTTAGCACATGTGCCAAGAGTAACTAAAAAAGTGGGCTCTGCAAGCGGAGAACTACTTTTTTTTCTTACTATAATTTTTACATTTTGTAACATATTCCTCTCTCACAAAATTAGTAACCAAAGATTCTTCAACCAGCTTCGAAAGGGAAGTTACTTTTGATTAAAGTAACAGGGAAGCCCATGGACTCAAAATTCTAAGCTTGATTATATCTGCGTTCATCAACCCGGAAAACTACTATTATCAGTTAAATACAAGTGATATAAGAATCTTATTATAATTAGGTGAGATATGGATAAAATCTAACTACCTTTGCGCAAAAATTAGGAAATTATGATGTCTACGTTATTCTTTACGCGAGATGACGACGTTTTACCAATGATATCATAGTCCAGTTGTGATTTTGAGTGTGATTAAAACTCAATCTTGGATGGTTTAAACAATTAAAAAATAAACAGCTTTCCGGCTCCAGTAATTACTGGGACTTTCATGAAACAACCTTTTGAGGGAATCTGTGTTTCACAATAGAGAATTAAGAAACAATACTGCGGCTGAAAAAAGTTTAACTTGAGTCGGCGGTTAGTAACTGGTCAGCGGAAAACCGTAAAAAAGTAAATGACCGAAATAAGTTGAAACTTGAGCCCGCGGCACGGTCATGTGCTACAGGTCAGCAAATACCCCTTTATAATTTCTGACAGCTGTCAAATGACTATAATATGGATGTCTATCATCAAGTTAAACGTAGGTGAAGATGAAGCAATGGAGGCCCGGAGAAAGCGGGCTGTCAATTCTTAGAGGGTCCCCAATAGGGATCCTGTAGTCCCAACCCAAAACTTCGTGCACTCCTGAGGGTTATTTTTGGCAACAAACCTCCCTCGCATACTTTCAATCCCGAATCTCGCCGCGATTTCGCTTTAAAATCTTTAATCCCGAGCTTCAAATAAGGGAAATCCCAGATCCCGAAAACCTATTAGGGACCCTCTTCTGCGCCTGACAGCCTGTTTAAATCTCGCCGGGGTAAAAAGGGTTTTCTTTGATTCCTAGTTAATTTCAATTTTCTTTCTAGAGCCAATTCATATACGATTGACTTTTGACACGACTTGCACACTTGACCACACAGTAAGATTCCACCGTCTGGCCTGGATTTAGCTCAATCGGTGGAACGCTTTATGTAATCCGGGGTTTAGAGGATTCTGGTAGTGAGTAAAATGACGCCAACAGGCCAATGACCTATTGTCATACTCTATAAAAAACAAACGCACGTGACAGGCATTTCATTAAACTGTACGCTTATTTCTCGAAGAAACTCCAATCCTAATCTAAAAACTGCCTCAACACTGGGGTTGCAACTCCCATCGGGACAGCAAGTTAGTGTCCTTGTTAGCAAGCAAGAATCTACAGTAGAAAGGGAATGTAGCTGATATTCGTATTGCCGGCGTGTGCGCAAGGCGAGAGTTGACTGTACCTATGGTCGTCATACATTTCGTTTCCGATTTTACAGAGTGCATCCCGCTGATACAGATCAATTAAGCAGATTCATACCCCGCCCTTTACGACACATCTTCAAAGTTAAAACATCTGTCCATCGTAGTTTATTTAGCAACTGCATGGCATTCTTGGACTCAGGGTATATTTCTGGTCACCGTGACGAGTGACACAGAAAAATGCATCGCTAATTTAATGTATTATTTTACCTAGTTTGACTTCGTGGTAAGTGCCATTACAATAATTTATTTCTTACTTGATGTTTTGAAAGAATATTTATATATCCTCATGTTAAGTTTCAAGAAAACTGTTCTTGCTCGCTAACGCGGGTAGTACGTTCTCCTTTTGCCTAAAGGGGCTGTGTCACGGCAGTCCAGTTCATTTTCAATTGTTTCATTTTGCCAATTACTCGCCCTCAATTGCTATGGAACTTAAAGTAAGCAAAGAAATTACATGTAAATGACAAAATCAGAGATCCGAGACAAACAAATATGTCTCCTGAGCATTATTTTTGAAGTTGGAAGCAGCAGGGACCAACTTTGAAAAACTGTTAGGCTGAACAGTTTTCAAAAACCCTAATTTCAATCCGTTTCAACCTTCTTCAGTTTTGCCCATCCGTGGCATCTGTTGTTTCTGTTATGTTGTTTTAACCTTACTTTAAAGTTTTAAGCGGTTATTTTTATGTTTCTTTTAATTTAACGGGCATTTTGTAATTTCCTAATTTGGCTGAATTTCGTGACACAACTCCTTTAAGTTATAGAACAGTTCAGATATTGAAGTTAAGTGCAGTTTTTCCTTTTCTTCGTTTTTATTCTTTCTTTAATACAATGAAGCCTACTGAAGCGAAATGATAGAATATGTAATACTTTACTTGCACCTTGTATTTAGTTAGTGCCACAATAACGGAGACTGCAAAAACTATTAGGTGTACCACTAAGATAGTACACATAATATGAACCACAATTTCTCACTTTGATGTTTGTTGACCATCGACAGCAGTTACCACTATTATGAAAACACACCGTCCTGCTGACCTGACCGTCTGCTACTGTAGGGTGTCCACCATTCATCCAGCCGGGTGCACTTGTGCCACATCTGTAGTTAGGTGGACATGAAGTTGGCATTCTTGTACCGGCGGAACCCTCAAAACGAAACCAACCAGGTCCGATTCCATTGTCACAATAATCGTGGCTAGTAGTGTACGTAATCTTTCTGTCAGCGCTGTTAAGACTTCCGTAATTCTCACATTCTGATGTAGAAAAAAAAAATAATTATGATTATTTTCATAAGAATTAATTTAATTAACTTTTAAAAATGTAGAAAATTATTTAATATTTTAATATTTTTTGTAGTTTAACTGGTTTCGTAAAGTTTTATCTGCTGTACATAAACAGGTTCAAAGTGGGTAATTTTCACGTCCTGTAAGATTCCCCAGCACCTGCCCCACTGTGGCGAACTCTGTTTACATATGAGTCAGTCATTGAGGATTGGTTAGTGACTTTCACACACTGGTAGACATACAGACAGAGGTTAAGAAATAACATGGGAAAGGGAGACAAATATATCTGTAGACATTCTTAAGCTGCCTCGATTTGCGCCTGCAAATGGGTGAGTCATTTCTGCTACATACGATAAAGTAGGGAAATAATAGGTAAATAACATTTAATAACTATTAATAACAATTGTTTGGAAACAAGGATGAGTAAAAAAACATTTTACTTTTTAAAAAGAAACTACAGTCTGTAGAATTTGGTTAATACGGACAATTAGGGGAAATGCCTTGGTGTCGGTATCATCTGGATGGCCGTAATAAGTGGGCTCTCCGGAAAAACGTCAAGGACACATATTGTATTGATATAAAGACTATGGCAGACTAAGAGGAAGAAGGGTAGGAAAAATGACTGCGGCGAAAAGCCAATAAGGAAGTGAGATTTTTGTAGCAGAAAAAAATTATTTAATGGCTATATAGTGCAAGGGTCAAACGCGGGAAAGACTGACTTATCACGCTATTCTGCTTCTTAAACCCAAAGAAATCTGTCATTGTTTGAACAGTGTAGAATATCTACAATTAGCACGTGATTGTTACAAGGAAAATAGACAGTGCGCAGATAAACAGTGTCCGTAAATAGCAGGGGTAAACAATGTATGCGAGTTTGTGCCTCGGGACACAGAAAAGTGTCCTTTGTCCATATTAAATGGTGTCCGTATTAAGCGGGTAAATTTTAGAAACGCTAAGTTGTATACGGTGTTTCGTCTCGCAGAAATTAAAATTTTATGTCTGTTCTCTTATTATTGATAGAAATTAGCCAATCAGCACAAGAGAATTAACTCAGTTATTGTAAAAAAATAGAGCTTATGAAAACGTTGTAGTGTCGGTGATAAGAGACTTTTACTTTGTAACTATAAAAAAAAATCTTACTGAGTGATCTTGTGCTATGAGGTTGCCTTGGACTGACTTTGGCACCAAGGTCGAGTTTCAAAATTCCTTGAGTTAGCTTGCCCGTGAACTCACAAGGAAGAAAAAACCATTCCTGTTTGATTTTTTTATCGCCTGCAATTTCATGCAATTTCACTTTCTTCTTCTGCACGGATCCGTGTACGTCAAGAGATGCGTCATAGAGTAAATAACGGAAAGCAGCGAACTACACTTTGCTGGAGAGCCTCCCTTTATAAAAACAAGCTCGCGCAAGTGTCAGATACCGGATTGAAGCTTGTTATCATAATGATCAGGCTGAAACGCGCAAATTACAAACGCCTATAAGTTTTTTTTCTTTCTGAGCTTGCGTGCTAGCGGCATAATGCTCTCTCTTCAAATGATGCGGTTTTAATCTCGCAGTCTACTGCGAATTTCAGTGACGTCACAGTTTAGCCTCTCCAGAGTTTATTAAACTCAGTCGGAGGCGTAGAGTCCATATTCTCCATATTTGACATACCCGATCTCCCTATCAGTCACAGTCTCTTTCCATATAAGGAGCATATTAAGCAACCACGACTGCGACGGCATGGAGCGAAAACGCCCCAAAACATTGTATTCACGCTGTTTCACATTAATTTTTATCACTCTTATTCCATTTCGTTCAAGTTAATTGTCAAATTTACCAAGTTGGTGAATGCTTTTTGGCGTTTAATTCTATTGTAATGTATCTCAATGTAGAAAAAGAAAAAAAATGGTTTTCTAGGCTGACAGCGTTCCGTGTTTAGTTATGTTTAAAACACGAACATCAGTGTTTTATCACTGGTTTAACATTTGAGCGTAATAAGAGTGAGATTTTTTAACCAGAAAACGCGTTTTTTGACAAGCCTTAAAAAATTCGAGTTTACTCTTATAATATTGGAAACAGAAACATAGTTAGACATGCCTTCCTTTCGATTCACTGCTGGTCAGCGGCCATGAACAGTCCACCTCTGGAATGTCTTTCCCGAATCGTTAGGTAATATAGCGAATCTCAATCAGGTTAAGGCTGAAGTGAAGAAGCGTTATTTCCTTATTTCATTTTTTTTCCCCAATAAATTTCACATGTTGTAAAGTAGATAATTATGCTTTTAATTATCAAATTGCAATTGTAAAGTTGGCTGAAAAGCCATTTTATGGGGTCGGCTGATAAAATATTAGTATTACTTAATATTTCATTTCAATAGGATTGCTAACTAACGGTTTTCTCTTTTTAACTTAAAAAAAAAAAAAATAGAATGGGAACACAAAAGCAGCCAAAATAACAAAGGTCGGTCAGATATAATTATGCAAATAGTGTACATGTACAACCTCAAGTACACAGTTTAAAGAACTGTTCACGTATAGTTGGGTAACCCCCCCCGTCCATATAATCTCTCATTTTAATTTGATCAAGTTTACATTATAGGTGGGGGTGACCATATGAGAGATTGTATGGACAAGCGGGTTACCCTACCTAAGCGAGTCACCTCACTAACATGGGGACCCCCACCTTTATGTAAACAGGCCCTAAGCGTCTACCTGCCTTCGCAAAACGAGTATCCAAGTTAAAGAAATTTCCACAGTTATCACTGCGTTTCAACAGAATGTGTGCCAGACTATGGCCTACTCGGCGAGTTTGAAGCAAAGATTCTTACTGTTTTATTACCTCTATTTTCGCGTTTATTTCGCTTGTTATCCTCCAGAATCCTCCAAGATAATTTGCTTGACTTGTATTTGGTCGAAATTCGTCGATAAAAGCTTTCATTCTTCGCAAAAGCCGCGACAAAATTCTTCCCGACGGAAGCGCCATTTTCACTAGATTTGAAAAAATCGTTGCCTGGCACATAATTGGCTAAATCTATTGACTTCTGTGGGTCAAATTTGGAGGCAATCGTAAGTAACACAATTTTTTGCGAGTGTTCGTCGCGTCATAACGCTTACCCATTTTTACTACTTCGGTTAGATAATTGTATGCTCTTTTCTACATTTTCAGTTACTTATAAATTGTACTAGTGGCGGAGTTTAGGTAAATATATATCTTGATTTTAGAAAATTCGGGTTATGACGGAATAATATTCGCTGTAGGAAAGTGAAAGTTAATAGCTAACCGAAATTTAGTAGTTAACTGAGAATTGGCCCAAAAAATAGTAGTTAACTGATATTTGGCTGAAAAATTAGTAGTTAACTGAGAATTGGGTACCCCCATTAGCACCCTCTTAAAAAAATTCGAGTTTATGTAACACATATTAAGGGACTTGCCCAGCCCCTTATCTGTAACAGGTTTAAGAAAATGGTTGATGTGCACTCTCGTAATATCGGAAGCAGAAACAAGTTAGACATGGCTTCCTTTAGATTCACTGCCGGTCAGCTGCCATGAGCAGCCCGCCTCTGGAATGACTTTGCAGAATCTTCAGGTAATAAAGGAATCTCGACCAACATTTCCCTTTTTTCATTCCGGAGATGATCCACCATGCCTAATCCTTTAATTTTTTCAGAACTTTAAAAGGCAAACAAAATGGATCATCCGTTAAGTTTTAGTCGCGCCCTTTTCCGTTTTTTTTGACCGTAACGGCTGAAAAAATTAACCTGAAAAGTCAGGCGTTGAAGAAAACTATTCCATTGCCAAATTAAGACGTATCACCTATCTGACGCGAATAACCCCGTCTCATTTCCTTATTTCATTTTTATGATCTTCAAATTTTTTCCCGATAAATTTCAACTACGGTAGATAATTATGCTTTTAATTATCAAATTGCTATTTTAAAGACTAAAAGTTGGCTGAAAAGCCATTTTATGGGGTAGGCTGATAAACTATTACTGTTACTAAATATTTCACTTCAATAGGATTGCTAAATAACGGTTTTCTCTTTTTGACTAAAAAAAAAGAATAATAATAAAAAGGGAACACAAAAGAAGCCAAAATAACAAAGGTTGGTCAGATATAATTCAAAAAGTGCAAATACATTGTACAACCTCAAGTACCGCCTGTTATATGAACCACCTGGTCATATAATCTCACATTTTAATTTGATCAAGTTTACATGATAGGTGGAGGTGACCATATGAGAAATTGTAAAGACAGGCGGGTTACTCTACCTAAGCGGGTCACCTCACCTACCTGGGGACCCCCACCTCCATGTAAACAGGCCCTAAGTGTCTACCTTCCTTCGCAAAAAGGCTATCCAAATTAAAGAAATTTCCACAGTTATTCTGAATCGTACAAGAGGGAAAAACGTTCGAAGAGAGTGTCACTACATCTAATTGCAATGCGACGGAAGATAATGGCAATTGATATAACTTAAGTTTTGCGGAATTGCAAACCGGTCAGTGACTGGTATATGTAAGAATTATTTGCGTCTCACTTCACCAACTTATTCTTGGCTCGATGAATAAACAGTCGTGTAATTCGATTAGTCTGGTGATTTCTCAGTTAAAAAACGTCGACATTTTTGTGAATAAGTTTTTTGTACTGCCTACATCGGCGTCCAAATATGGTAACCGTGTACCGGATGTGAGGATTTAGCGGCGGGACAGACAATCAGAAACGGTGAAATATTGAACTTGACTTTTTTGGATGCCACGCAACGCTCAAAAAACGGCTGCGAGGGAGACTAGTTCTCATGGGGATCAGATTGGTACCGACAACTTGTTTCAGCCCTCAAAGCAGACGAGGGGGCTCGTTTGATTTAGTTCTCCCAAAGAGAATATTGCGAGCCGAGGATAAGTCGAACCGACTTTATAGTTCTTGTGGAAGGAAAATGAAAACCCTTCCTTAGTTGTATTCGTTTGTGTTAAGCGCGTTGTTTAGTTCTGAAAACGAGAAGAGTGAAAGTGAAGAGAGATTCAAGCGCCAGGTTCAAGCGCTCCCTTCCAATGTCGGTTTCTTCGCCCGATTGAATTCCATTGGGTAGAAAAAGTCAGGAACATGTACTTGACAGTGTAGCTGTGTAGCTTGACTGTAAAGAAGGGCAAGAGAAAGAGTGTGGAGCAACTGGAGTACAACTTAAGAGAGCCAAGTCGAGGAAAACGCTATTCTCCAGTTCCGGAGCGGACAAATATAAGTCCAATATATGTTTTGTTGGTGATTGCGACGGGGAGTAGTCTTCTATACTGCAGTATGGACGACTTTTCAAAAGTAAACGAAACTAGAATCAAAGTATTGAGTTTTCATCCGAGCGGACACGTTGAAGTTCGATGTCCCCGTGGAAAAAAAAAGTATATCTTCAGTGATCAAAAACATTGTTTTGATACTGTTACGCCTTGACAGGCGGTCCGCACTTCTCTAATCTGCGGCACGTTTGCGGTGACAGTTTGACGCTTTACGGAGTCCCGGGGTTTCCGTAGTCTGCTACACAGCCGTTTTTAGGAGAGTTTGCTCGCAGGCTAGCAAGCAACAGGGGAAAAGACCAAGAAGAATGAATTGCAGACACCATAGCGCGCGCTGATGACAATACTCATGTCACTCCCGCGATACAAAAGTACTTTTTAGGTAGTTTGAGTGGCTCATAAAAAGGAGAATTGAATTTGATTTATTGGCCAGATCTCGCTTTCGGCTTCGTCGACAAGAGATCTGGGTAATATTTGCATTTAACTGAAACCCTCTTTAAACAATCAAGGTTAAAGTAACATGCTTCTAACAAGAGTAAATAAGGGTCTAGTGGATGAACACATTCCTATTTCTTGGTGATAATAATTACCGTATGGAATATCAGGGGCACCCAACGACAATTTTCGGAAAAATATCTGTTCGGAAGACAATTTGAGATCTAGAATTTTCTGAACATTTGTTATAAAATTTCTTGCTTGTCTGCCTCTGCTAGGATTTTCGAACATCTAAAAAATGGTATAATTGGCCATTTTTAACGTATTTTTATCCCAAAAAGGTCACCTAGAATTTTCGGGAGCCATTTTTCTGGCTGAAATTTTCGAAAAGGTAAGTTTTGATCTCTATAATTTTCGGATCACTAGACTTTCAGCTAGGAAATCCGAACAGATGAAAAATTTCTAGGGGATAAAAATATGCCTTTATCTACCGTTTAAATACTAAAATACGTTTAACAATGCTATGTTAAGTGGTTTTGAACTATATTCTCGTTGGGTGCCCCTGGAATATTAATGGAAGTTTTGCCATCTCCGAATAGAGGTCAAGTAAATGGACACCTTCCTAGTGTTCGGCGATTTCATTACCTGATACCAGTAGATAGCACGTTCTGCCATCTCCACTGTAGGGATTGTTACATGAACAACTAAAGGATCCCACTGTGTTGGTACACGAAGCAAGGGAACTGTGGAATTGTGAGTACCGCGGCTGCACTCGTCGATGTCTACAAAAAGGGAACAGTACAAGTAAGCGTAATCATAACCTTTGTAACCGTTTTCTTTGTAAAGGGGAAACAAGAGAGCTGATCTGGAATTCGTCTACATCGGAAAGAAAATGTTATAAGAGAGTTCAAGACGAAAACGAACTCTGAAGTTATATTATGCCTGAACATTTTAAGTGCAATTTGTTTGCCATAAAAAGTCGTTAAAACTAAAGAAAAAGTAGGAAAGACTTTTCAAGCACGTACCTGAACAGTTGTAGCCATTTCCTCTGTACCCTGGTTTGCAACTGCAGTTAAAGGAACCTTCGGTGTTAATTCAAGTGGCATTGTCGCTACAATTGTGAGAATTGATTTGGCATTCGTCTACGTCTGAAATAAAATGTTAGGAGAGTCTTTAAGACGAAAACGAACTCTGAACTTATATTATGCCTGAACATTTTAGTGTAATATTTTTGCCATAAAAAGTCGTTAAAACTAAAGAAAAACTAGGTAAGACTTTGCAAGCACGTACCTGAACAGTTGTAGCCATTTCCTCTGTACCCTGGTTTGCAACTGCAGTTAAAGGAACCTTCGGTGTTAATGCAGGTGGCATTGTCGCTACAATTGTGTGTGCTCATCTGGCATTCGTCTGAGTCTGAAATAAAATGTTAGGAGAGTTTTCAAGACGAAAACGAACTCTGAACTTATATTATGCCTGAACATTTTAGTGTAATTTTTTTGCCATAAAAAGTCGTTAAAACTAAAGAAAAAGTAGGAAAGACCTTTCAAGCACGTACCTGAACAGTTGTAGCCATTTCCTTTGTACCCTGGTTTGCAACTACAGTTAAAGGAACCTTCGGTGTTGATGCAAGTGGCATTGTCGCTACAATTGTGAGAATTGATTTGGCATTCGTCTACGTCTGAAATAAAGTGTTAGGAGAGTTTTCAAGACGAACACGAACTCTGAACTTATATTATGCCTGAACATTTTAGTGTAATTTTTTTTGCCATAAAAGTCGTTAAAACTAAAGAAAAAGTAGGAAAGACTTGGCAAGCACGCACCTGAACAGTTGTAGCCATTTCCTCTGTACCCTGGTTTGCAACTGCAGTTAAAGGAACCTTCGGTGTTAATGCAGGTGGCATTGTCGCTACAATTGTGTGTGCTCATCTGGCATTCGTCTGAGTCTGAAATAAAATGTTAGGAGAGTTTTCAAGACGAAAACGAACTCTGAACTTATATTATGCCTGAACATTTTAGTGTAATTTTTTTGCCATAAAAAGTCGTTAAAACTAAAGAAAAAGTAGGAAAGACCTTTCAAGCACGTACCTGAACAGTTGTAGCCATTTC